ATCTATTAGAACAAAGTGCAAAATAATGTCACGGACACCAGACAGTGCAGCCCGATGCCCCGAGCATGATGCGCAGCCAACCTATGAGGAGCAAGCATACTCAAGAGCAGTTCAATAACGAGTTAGAAAATGATCTAGAAGTGATGCTTACTCAGGAGCAGTGTGACGAGGAGGAAGGGGGAGCAGAAAGAAGAGCAGGAGAGGCTACTGAAGGCGAAGAAGAAGAGGATGATGATGAGGAGAACTCAGAAGAGGGATATGTAAGTCCCGAGGATCCCTTCCCATGTGAAGCCAGAAGGAGACCAACAGAGGAAGATTTGGACAAAGATTTTAACCCGAATGAGGAGGTAGGGATAAAGCCTTAGCTTGTAAATTTTGCTAAAGCTTTGGCTGTGTTACCTCTACTAACACTTTGACCTGTCGTATATACAGGTCCCTCCTAAAACTCAGAAAAGACGACGTCGACGGCTCGTGACATCTCGCCGGACAAAACGGAGTAGAGAAAAAGAGAGCAGAGGCAACAACCACAGAGACAGACATTGAGGCCTCTGCTCCACAACCTCAAGACACAACCATGACTACCAAGCCAAAGAGGAAACGAGGTGATAGAAAATCAAATCAATATCTAGATAAGGCATGCTATGTGATAACGGAGGTCGAGCCAGCAGGGGAGATCCTTGAGCCGAAGGAATTCAGAGGATGATTTCGTAATATGATCGGGGTCTTAGTAAGAGATAAATTGAACCCAGCAATCCCTAACTGGAAAGAGGTACCAGAGAAGAAAAAGGATGGACTATGGGATAAGCAGCCGAAGCTCAATTTTAGATTTTCAGAGGGTAAGCATGAGCTGGTAAAAAAATGCTTTCATGATTATGAGAGAGTCATTCCGACGTTGGAGGTCGGAGCTCAACAAGAAGTAATCCAAAAGGGGTTAACTCCCTTCAATGAGTTCGGCAACATAACTTCTAGTCAATGGGAGGAGCTCATGTCTCAGAAGACTTCACCGGAGGCATTGGAGCTCAATGCCCGTAACACCGAGCTGGCGAAGAGGAACAAACACCACCATCATCTAGGCCTCGGTGGCTACTATGCCAAGGAAGAGCAGTTTAGGAAGATGGACGAAGAGGCCGCAGCTGCTGGGAATATCGATGTGAAGAATTTGAAGGTACGCTGAAGGAATTGGATATATGCGAGGAGTACAGAATCATCCGGCGGTAATCTTAAGTTTGATAAGCCGGAGACCCAAGAGGCTGTATCAAGGATACTGAAATATGCTGAAGACAAGGAGAAGGGCTCATTCAATCCTTCCAGAGAGAGGGACGAGCTTAGCCTTGGCTTGGGAAACAAGGAGCACACAGGCCGTACCAGGGGGCTACGAAAAAGGATGACCTAGAAGCAAGGATTTGAAGAGGACAGGCACATGTACAAGAAACATGGCATAGTCCGGGAGACTAATCTTGAGCTCCAAGTGAAGGCTCTAGTTGCGAAGGCGCTGGAGGAGCAAGGACTATCTACGGAGCTACGGACATTAATTACGCCGCCGGGAGAACTGGCATTAGTTGGCAGCCCTCCGAAAGTTCCTAGCAGCCAAGGTTCCACTACAGCCACAACCCCCATCGATCATATATGGGAACCAACTAGTTGCACCTTGGTTTTTCTCAGCGGACGGTAGAACATTGTGATGGAGGTGGCAACGGGTGTGGCACATCCCCTCGGTGGCTTACACCACAATAATAACATACCACCAGACTACACTAGGGTCGAGGTGCATACCGTGAAGCCCGAGTTCATGCAGTGGAGGATAGACCACGCAACTCCCGAAGGGTTGGTGTTACTCAGAGACGTAATGTGACAGTTCATCCTCTAGCACAAACGGGACATTATATTGATTGTTTCTTTGCCGTCTCCCCTCTCCCAAATTTGGAGCGAGTTGTTGAGGATAGAGAGATATTTTCAACGTCTCGTGACCACCATATTTCTGAGATGCCACATTCTTCCCCGCCTCCTAGCGAGCATGTGCCTGATAAGCCACAACATTCTCTAGCTCGTACCGAGCAAGTGCATAATGAGATGCCACAGTGTTCTCAACAAACACAGCCGATACATGAACAACGAATGCCTCCTAAAGAAGGTGATGCACAAGAAGATGAGGATGTGCCTGAATGTGAACTTCGAAAGAAGCATCCAATCACCATAAGACCAATTTATGTTCCGATGAAAGATGTCTCTTCGGTGCACAAGTGGTATTCCCATGACCAGTTCAAGCCTGAGAACCAAGTTAAAAAAGTCCCATCACGGGCTTCTAAGGAGGCCGTCACTAGCAAACTCCACCAAACATCAAAGTAGTATCCAAATGTTGATGCCATCAAATAGTCAAAGAATTGCCCGAAAACATATGAAAAAGGCAAGCCCTTCCTATCAAACCGGGACATCTAGCGCCTACCACTTGGAATGAGAAGGTTCCATGATTGGTACTTGCGTGTTCTCCTAACGAGCATAGACCTTGTACAAGCATGCTTCCCCACCGGCACATTTGGAAGCCCAGCCAGGAAAATTATCTTTGACTTCAATGACATGCAGACATGCTTTCACCTCGGAGCAATGGAAATGAATCTAATTCACACGTGGTGCCTGTAAGTCCTTGTCCTCCCGATATGATATGAATGTAATCTTTGAATTTTGTTGTAACTAACCCATACCGTAATTTATAGAATGCAAGTGCACATTGTAAAACAAATGCCAAGTGTGAAAGCCGGGTATATGGACCCTCAAGCTATAGCACAAACAAATTTTAATTACCCTAGATAGTGGAAACTGGATGACAAAGAGCTAGCTACTGGAAAGACCCTTTGGGAGAAAGAGAACATCCGTGCGAAGAAATTAAGGGAAGAGTCTCTTAAGGTTTAGGCATACATTGCCCTGGCTTTTAAAAATCTCCAATAGCACTCTACTATATGGCTACCATACAACTTCGAGTAAGTTCAACTCTATACTTAAAGCTTTGTTTGATATATTTTATTCGATGCAAAAGGGCTTATCTAGTTCTATGATTAAATTCATACAACAATCACTAGATTTGTATAGGCGTCGATGTCGGGAGGAGCATGGCATGGGTCTTTGATTCAATAGATAGGGACCCGATGACATACAAAGACTTCATATCGATTCTCAAGACGTATACATATCGACAATTCTCATTAGCTTATATGTTTGTATACATACTTGTAGCGTTCACTTTTGGATACTAACAACTTGTATTTGCTAATAATTCAAACATGGCATTTATGTTCTATGTCAATAAACATCAAGGAAGACATGATCCAGTAAGGAAGGAAAGTCTGGCTATAAAAACACTATGTGCGGTAAGTGTAACTTACTTTAGTACTATATTACATGGCTGTCAAAAGCATTACTTAACATTTTCATATGCAAAATACACAGTGCCCCAAGCAGAAGCCTAAGAGTGTACATTGTGGATACTATGTATGTTCTATGATGAGTAAGACCTGTGTCTACAGAAGACACCCCCCCTTAAGGGTAAGTTTGAACTTCTTCACCCGTAGTCTAAAAACTTCGCACATAAAATGAAATATTAAACCAAAACTTGTTCTCTTGTAGTGGAAAGATGAGAAAGAAATGAAAATAGACCCATACAAGGATGATCAACTCTTAGAACTCGTCGACGACCTTTGCAACTTCATATTGGACCAGATTGTACATGTCAAAGGCACCTACCATGATCGAGAGTCTGACTTAGGTAGAAATCCTCAGTACCAACACCTTCGTGAGACTGAAAGGCTAGCTCTACGCCGTTGATATCAATGTGTATGAAATTTGACATTGGTCTTACCTTGTGGGAGCTTCGCCGAGCACCTCGCCACGGTGCGCACTCCGTCGCGCCTCTAGGTCACTGCTGTCGACCCGCGCCGCCGCCGTCCGCCACGACACCTACGCCGAGCACCATAGCCACCAAGGTGAACTCACCGTGAGCGCACGAAGCTGTAGAGCCTCCTAACAGTCTTGCCTATCCACCCTAGCGCGAGAACACGCGAGCTCGCCGCCGGCGAGGAGCGCCGCCACGAGACAGAGAGGAGAGAGAGCTGCTGCGCCACTGTCGCCCCGTTCACCCAGTGCACCGTGTGCCAGAGAGAGGGGAGGGAGAAGTGGAACGAATTAGACTTGTGAATTATGTCTGTTTAACGATGGATTGTATATATTCTTGTGAATTGGACTTATAATGGTAGTTTATTCTTGTGTTTGTAGATTTGAATTATATATGAACCGGTCATATTTGAATTATATATATATATATATATATATGTTCGGTAAAGTGTACTGTAGGGACGGTTCTAGATTGAACCGTCTCTACAAATAGGTATTATAGGGGTGGCTGGTACTACAGCCACTCCAACAAATCGATTTTGTAGGACCAGCCGCCCCTACAAATAGATTTATAGGGGCGGCTGATAACACCAGCCGCCCCTACAAATAGATTGTAGAGGCGGTTAGGGAACCGGCCCTAAAAATACATGATTTGTAGCCACGCTTTAGTAGGGGCGGCTGGTCAAACTGCCTCTACAAATCATCTGGAGCCGCCTCTACAAAAGGTTTATGCACTAGTAAGAGAAAGTGGTTGTTTTTTGTCATACCAGTAAGTAGCCATGGAGATGGCGTTGTAATCGAAATCGACATCCAGCAAACTACAGCAAGGAGCCGTGTTTACGATGCGCACGATGCCACATGCACGTACATAGACACGCAGAGGCATTCGGCAAAGTAGAGAGGACAAAAATGTGGGCATATAGGTAGACAGCAGAACATTCATTCTTATGCTTGTAGAACGAACGTAAAATATCATCGTGTCTAGCTTTCTCCGTCCCTGCTTGTAGGCATTCGATGCCTTGTTTGATACTCCTAAATAAAATGTTCACCAAATTGCCCGATAAATAATGCCCCGGCTCCTCGGTACGGAGACGTACTTTGCAACGAAAAGCATCGCCATGGCTTCTTCCCCTCTGCTTGTGTGCGTCCTCCTTCTATGCAGCTGCTGTTTGATTGCACTTGGAGGCAATGAGCGCGGCTTTGTTGTGGTGCCAACAAGCACCTCTTCGCCATCGAATCCTGCAGCGTGCTCACCTGCACCACAAGGTATGCAATGCAATGCTACTGATGAATACGAATCAAAGTTTCAGACTAACTCTGAAGTGCTATCCGTGTCAGTGACTTCTGATCCCAACCGTGCGTCCATGCCGCTGGCGCACCGGCACGGACCGTGCGCTCCGGCATCGGTGGCGGCCACGAACAGGCCGTCCCGGGCCGAGATGCTTCGCAGGGACCGCGCTCGCAGGATCCATATCTTGCGCAAGGCATCAGGGCGCAGGATCACGCTGTCCGACGTGGGCGTGAGCATCCCGACGTCCCTGGGCGCCGCCGTGGACTCGCTGCAGTACGTCGTCACGCTGGGCTTCGGAACGCCGGCCGTGTCGCAGGTCCTCCTCATCGACACCGGCAGCGACCTGTCGTGGGTGCAGTGCCAGCCCTGCAACTCCTCCACGTGCTACCCGCAGAAGGACCCCCTGTTCGACCCGAGCGCGTCGTCCTCGTACGCGCCCATCCCGTGCGACTCCAAAGCGTGCAGGGACCTCGACCCCGACACCTACGCCAATGGCTGCACCAACTCCAGTGGCACCTCCCTGTGCCAGTACGGGATCCAGTACGCCAACGAGGACATCACAGTGGGGGTGTACAGCACGGAGACGCTGACGCTGAGCCCACAGGTTTCGGTCAAGAACTTCAGCTTCGGCTGCGGCTTGGTCCAGCGTGGCACGTTCGACCTGTTCGACGGCCTCCTCGGGCTCGGCGGCGCGCCAGAGTCGCTCGTCTCGCAGACGGCGGAGACGTACGGCGGCTCCTTCTCGTACTGCCTCCCGGCGGGCAACAGCACCACCGGGTTCCTCGCGCTCGGCGCGCCCAGCAACAACACGGCAGGGTTCCTGTTCACGCCGCTGCACAGCGTGCCGAAGGAGCCGACGTTTTACTTGGTCAATCTCACCGGCATCAGCGTCGGAGGGACGCAGCTCGACATACAGCCGACCGTGTTCTCCGGAGGCATGATCATAGACTCCGGCACGGTCGTCACGGTGCTCCCGGAGACGGCCTACTCGGCGCTGCGGACGGCCTTCCGGAGCGCCATGTCCGCGTACCCGCTCTTGCCACCGAACAACGACGAGGATCTCGACACGTGCTACAACTTCACCGGCAACAGCAACGTGACGGTGCCGACCGTTGCCCTCACGTACGACGGCGGTGTCACGATCGACCTCGACGTGCCTTCGGGGGTTCTGCTCGACGGCTGCCTCGCGTTCGTCCCAGGGCCCCCGGATGGCCATACCGGAATCATTGGCAATGTCAACCAGCGCACGTTCGAGGTGCTGTACGATTCTGGCCGCGGACACGTCGGATTCCGGCCAGGCGCTTGCTGAAGTACGTCTCAAGTGCATGCTGCTGTATTTCAAAATTTCACACGGTCGTCATACAAGAATCGCAGCTGAAATAATGGATCGGAAGGGTGGTACGTGCAGTAAGTTAAAACTAGACGAGCAGTTTTTTTTTGTTTGTGTGTTGTTGTCATACCTAAATATATTATCAGTCAATATAAAGGAACAATGCTATATTTCTATTTTATCTGTGGCTTAAAAATTGCACATGTACAACTACGATTTCACTTTAGTTTTATATAGCGGCAATATAATTCTGGCAAAACATCAGACAAATATGCACTGTAAGGTCGAACTAAAAAAGAGGGTACATTATATGCCCTTTGATTTTAAAAAAAATAAGGATGACGTATCTATGATAGTAATTTTATTGGAAGCAGATCAATGTTGTAATATTGCAGATTTAAGTGACATGCTCCCAACATATTTAAATAAATTAAATAATCTAATTCCGAATATAACAAGCATATTACTCAGAGAAAGGCCATATAAAAATGTGATATAAATGCACAGGAGGTATTCCAAAGCTTTTATAGAATAAATACAGCTACTCATGCTCATATCAACATTAAACATGGCATGTAGATGAAGAAGGCAAATTAACAACATAAACATATTTGTTTATTTGTATTTGCTCTCAAATTAGTGGGTTACTGTATGAGACAACCTTCTGTTGGGGGGAGGCCCAGCCTATGGGCACCCCCACGGTGCTCGGGCGTCCTTACCCTCTCTCTCTCTCTCTCTCTCTCTCTCTCCTGGGGCATAGCCAACACTTCGCACTGGCGGAATGATGGATGCACTACGGCGGTGGGAGGAGAGTTCCGTAGCGCGGCACCGCCTTTTCGCCATGGAGAATAGCGAGAGCCTCGCGCGCTGAATCCACGCTCGACCTACACGTGGACCGGTCTTTTCACTAGGGCGATACAACGAGTGCCCTGGCGATCCGAGGATGGATCCTTTCGCTGGGGTGAATGGGTGGCGCGTCAGCATGCTGAAGTGGCTCGGACTGTTCACCCGTACGAATAGCCGCCGCTCGCCAGGGAAATCGATCCCGTTAGGTACTATGTCGGCCTTTCGCTTGGGCGAATAGTTGACGTCAGGTCGCGTGACTTACTTTGTAGGTTTCTCCCGTGAGAGGAGTCCATCGCGGGTCAAGGTGCCGACAGCCCTGGTCCATCGGGGCCTGCTCGGTCGGCAAAGAGGCAGCATAAGGTGGGACCAGTCGGGGACCATAGGGCCGGCGCCAACCGGGGCGGGCGTTATCTCCAAAATGGCGAACATGTCCAGAGCGGACGGGAATATTCCCTGTATGTGCAGTAGTTGCAGGGGCAATGTTGTCCGTAGGCTGCCCACCGGCCTATATAAATAGCCCCCTTGGCGGGGATTGTAAAAGAGAGACATGCGGTTCCATAATGAATACATGAGTTTCGTTTTGTCCACCTAGAGTTCGAACGGGTATTCGGTTGCTTGATTAGTTCGTTCCTCAACCCGATGTTCGAAGGCTAAGGCCTAGAACAACATTGGCGCCCACCGCGGTTGTTGCTCGAGGTTATCATGCCACCAAAGAAGTCGAAGATACCGACGGATAGAGTGGAGCCATCCATAGTTGCCGCAGCCGCCGCCGCGACGGCGGAAACAGCCACCCGAAGTGGCGCAGCAGCGGCGGCGACCACGGAGCCATCCACACCCAACCCACAGCCAGACAGCGCTGCCACAACTCAAACCCATCAGGAAACGCCAGAAGGCGTCGCCGAAGAGATCCAACTCAATCAAGACGGAAATGAAATCGAAGAAGATGAAGACGGCGAGATCACTGATCATACAAACGCTCATATCCAGAATGGTATGGTTTGGTCGCTCTTCCAACAAATTATAGGCTCCCAGAATTCGCTAAGTTCGCTGGCCGAGACAGGACAAGCACGATAGAACATATCAGTCGGTATCTCACACAATTGGGCGAAGCATCAATTGAGGATGCCCATCGGGTTCGTTTCTTCTCTCTGTCCTTATCAGGGCCAGCCTTCACTTGGTTTTCATCATTGCCAGTCAACTCCATTGCCAATTGGGCTGACCTAGAGAAGAAGTTTCATACATATTTTTACACTGGGACTAGAGAAAAGAAGATTACTCATCTGACAACCATAAGACAGAGGACTAATAAATCGGGCATTGAATTTCTTCAGAGGTTCTGAGAAACCAAGAACTTATGCTTCTCCTTAAACTTGGCCGATGATCAACTAGCTGCTTTAGCTGTTCAAGGAATGCTGCCGATGTGAAAAGAAAACCTGCTGGGGCAGGAATTCGACAACCTGGGTCAATTGGCTCAATGGGTAGCAGCGCTCAATAGCCAATTCCAGAGTATGCGTAGAGATACCCGGTTCTAGAAGAGTACCACAGTAGCCAAAACTTATGATCCATACTCAGTCGATGACAGCTATGAAGATGAAGAATAAGAGGTTGCTGCAACTGAATGGAATTGGGGCAAGAAGACAGTGATGGTGCCAAATCCGTGGGGAAGAGGAGCTATGACTTCGATGTCACCAAATCAGATAAGCTCTTCGATTTCTAGCTGGAGAAAGGGAAGATCAAGTTGCCCGATGGTCATGTCATGTTACCCCCTGATCAGTTGAAGAATAAGAAGTTCTGCAAGTTCCATAATGCTACTTCTCATTGCACTAATGAATGCAGAATCTTCAGACAGCATATACAGAGAGCTATTCAGCAGGGGAGCCTCAAATTTGGTACGCCTCGGAAAATGAATGTTGATGATAATCCTTTCCCAGGAGATCAAAACATGGTTGATGCTAGGCTATTCAAAGGAAAAATTAAGGTCCTAACATTAACCAAATAAAAAAAAGCTGGAACAGTCGATCCCAAGATGCAAATATCGACTGACAAGTACAGAGAAATTAGAAGACGTCGTGCCGAGCAAAAGATCTGATACGAGCAGGGGAAGATGTCAAAAGCAGAGACGACAAAGCAGCGGGTCACATCTCAAATTATGTTGAATAAATGGCAGCGGCAGAAGGAAAAGGATTATCAACGTTGGTTAAAAGATCAAGCGTACCAGCATAAACTGAAACAAGAAAGGTATGAAAGGGAACAAGCCGAATTATATTGGAATTGTCCTTTCTTCAGGCATTGCTGGAATGAAGGTTTGAAGTTGCCTACTAGACATAACTGTCCAAAATACAGCGATCAATATCGAGAGTATAGGCAGTCTCAAACCAACTGCCGGTCTATCCATGCTCAAGATGCATATCATCATAACAACATGGATCAGCGTTTGAAAAATAAAAGTGTTCATGATCGGCTTGGAAAAAGAATCATTGATCAAGACTGGGCTGATCTTAAAGAGGAAGGCACTGAAAGAAGATATGTGTGGCAGGAAGGCCAGTGGTGCCTAGGAGGTTTAACAAGAAGCCAGTAGAGAAGGGTGCAACACCTAAGGAATAAAGAGATGGAATAGGCTCAGGCATCTGGTAAGACTCAAGTGTGGAATACCAAGCAAATAGCCGATAGGAAGCAACCATCGGCTAATATTCAAATGGCTTTTCTGTTACCATCGGAATTCAGAGCTTCGGCAGATCAAGAAGTTTATTTGGATTTCGATGAATCAGAGTATGAGGAGACAGTTGCCAAGTTGACGGTTGTACATCAAGCAATATTTGACAAACCAATCAAACATCGGCACTTAAAAGCGTTATATATGAAAGGTCTTGTTGAAGGGAAGTCGATGAACAAGATGTTGGTGGACGGAGGTGCTTCTGTCAATCATATGCCTTATACTACTTTTCGTAAACTTGGCAAAGGACCAGAAGATCTGATGGAGACTGACATAATGCTTAAGGACTTCGGGGGTAATACATCTAAGACTCAGGGGGCAATAAACATTGAGCTAACAATCGAAAGCAAGACTCTTCTCACTACATTCTTCATCATCGATGGGAAAGGGTCTTACAGTTTGCTCCTTGGTCGTGATTGGATTCATGCGAATTGTTGCATACCATCAACCATGCATCAATGTTTGATTCAATGGCATGGAGATGACGTCGAACTGGTTCACGCTGATGAGTCCGTTAGCATCGCAACAGCCGATCCAGTCTTTTGGGAACTAGGAGACTTCGAATGTTTTTCTAGCAAGTCATGGGAAGGAGGCTTTATTAAGATCAGCAATGAAAGCCAACAGCCGATGCAAGCGATTGACCCTGAGAGTTTGTTTTACTAGAAACAATCATAGCTTCACATCGGTCATTGGATTAAAGCAAAAATAACCATTGAGTCTTGGAGATGGATTTAGGCCGACGTGCATGAATGCTGAGTCAAAGTGTAAGTACAATTCAGATTTAATGGATTTCTTAAAGAAGTTCTGTTTCATAGGACGCTTGACCTGGGTTGATTGATCATTTGATGTTTGATACGAAAAACTTCTATGGGGTGTTATCCTAACATTTGATCAACACTTGCTAGCCGATTCGTTCTCGGCTTTAATAGCCAGTACCAGGAGGGTATCGCCTCTAGTTCAAATAATGAAAATCTTCAAAGACAATGAATGCCGATACGATATGTATCGCCTATAGAGTAAGAATAAAAGATAAAACAGTCATACACAAGAGCATTGTACCGAGGTACATTCACGGGAAGAACAGAAGTCTTTGTTCATTAGTTCCCCTAAGTACAATCTAGTCGAAGACTTTGTTCACCACATCCTGAGCAGATGTGATGTCCACAATGGCCTCCGCCGCTACGATGAAGTCTTCTATCAAGTCCTCATGTCCCTCAGGGCCGTCGCCAGCTAGGAAGCCGATCTCCATGGCATGAAGGTCATGCCCGGTCTGGACCTGCACCATAGTTAGCGCCACCGACGCACCGTGACGAACGTCGTGGAGGGAAATCTCCTGAACGCGGGCTGGGATGTCTTGGAGATGAGCGTCAATGAGGGAATCCCGAGCATTGACGGCGTCCATGGCCGTGTTCATAGCCAG